AATAATCTGCCTACTTGATGTCTGTCTGCTTTAGAGTCGATGTTAGGGGCCAGTTCCACATAGGTTTTGATTCATGGGAAGTTGTTTCCCATAGATCTATCAGTTCAGTGTTCTCCCATCTACTCAATCAGAAAATGTTTCCATCATGACATGAAAATTAAAAGGTGGCATTCTTAATTAAATCAATAAACTAATTGCTATATGGTAGCAATTCAATTTAAGGGCTTGGATTGCTCTGCCTTCTCAATCCTGGGCAGACACCAGGTGACTTCAGCCTGAGATTGTGTCTGTCAGACTGTGAAACTCTGAACACTTAATTTCCATTAATTGATTTCCTCAGTGCTCACAAATATAGTGTTAAATTCTCAAATAAGCTCTCAGATGGGATGGTTTTATCTGCATAAATGCAAATAAAACAATAAGCACAAATAAACACAAAGCCCAGCAGATTTGAATTTTCGCCTCCATAACAATTATTCATAAACCACTCATGTTGAAAAATCCCTCACAGAATAAAGAAAGTAAAAGAAGACATTCCACTGGTGAGCACACTTTCTGGGGTGCTGGCTGGTAACTAATAATGTTGTAACAAATGGGACTGCTTGACTGTGTTTCACCCCTTCCTCTGTTCACCGCCCCCTCCAAATTCCCCACCTCTAAATATACATCATGATCACATTTGCCAACGAGATTAATTGCCTTCCTCAGTGAACCAGCAGGATTTCAAGTCTAGGAATATTTAAAAACCAAACCTCCAGTGCGGGAGTTTTGCTATTTAAATGGATGTTATTATTGAGCGTATTTTCACATTTAAAAATCCTAAGAGATGTGTAAAAATGCTGGCCTCATTAAAAGAAGAAGTAGAGTTTAGGAAATGTTTGTGGAAACTCTGAGTTTGGCGGCTCTTTATAAAGCATGTGGTGTGTTTCGGTTGTGTACCACTGAGGACTGATTGTGAGGGGTCAGGTTGCTTCCCCAATGGCCGTTGCTGCCTGTGACGGGTTTGATTCCCACTTCCTTAACTTCCTGAAGTCGGTAGGCCAAGGGTAAGGCCACCTCAACAGCCATTGGGACTTCAGTGGGCTCGTAGGAGGGGGCGCTTTCCCCCCTGGCTCTCTTTTTCCTTGGCAGGGTAGTGTGATAGAAAGAGCACTGATTGGGGTGTGGCTCCTGGCTTCAGCATTGCAGCTATGCCCCTTGGGCAAGTCACTGGACTGTTTTCGGAGTCTCAGCTTGCTCCGTTAGCTCAGGTGTGAAAAGCATGTAATAGGCCCCAACTTAAGCTTGCTTGGCCAATGACATAAGATGGAAAAGATGTGAAGATTCTTGTGAATGATAAAGCAATATATAATATTCATAGCGTAGTGTGAGAAATAAAACAGTAGAAGGAAGTACCTAGAATTTGAATTAAGTGCCTGGGAATCCCTGGACAGCATTCAGACTTTTCCCCAGGAGATGAAGGTGCTAGCAGGTGAGTGGCTGAGAATACCAGTCTTGAGTGTAGACGGCTTAGCGTGCGCAAAAATCTCTATCTCCCAAAGTAATCAAGAGATAATTAGCAACTAACAAAAGATGAAAGGCCAGGCTGAGAGGACTGTGGTTGGTAGAGAAGGTGGGTCTCCAATCCTCTTTCATATACTTAAGCAGCTAGGTGTTCTTTCTCTCTGAATTGCCAAAGACAGTTCTCCCCTCATCGATAATCCACACGCTCACAATTACTGACTGGGGGTATTTACATAAGGCTCCTACTTAGTGCTTATTAATTCACAGACATTTATGTACCACTCCATGGGGGATAGAGGGAATTTGGAACGTTGACTGCAGTTCTGTATTAGCTACAAATGCTGCACATGGCAGTCTGTGTATCCACCTTGCCGCCTACCCACTGATCTCTGTGTCATGGGGCATCAAGCTACAGTCATATCCTTAAGGAACCCATAACCTCATGGGGAAAAAGGGGGCTCATGCATACACATCACCAGCTGCCAGGGCCTGAAGTTGGAATCCTGGTGTTGCCTCCAGTCGCCCTTCTTCCTCACACCTCTCATTCCGGCAGTGACCATGCCCTCTCAGGCTGGCCTTCATCCCCAGCCCCTTTGCTGGAACCTCACGTTAGGTCCTGGAATGCCTTCCCTGACACCTCCTCTGCGAAACCTCTGGTTTCCTGGTTTCCATTCCCTACCTCTACGAAGTTGGCCATGCTCACTTTTGTTGCTATTTTGTGCTACTTCAATCCTTATAAGAGCACTTTGTTCCCTGACCTGGGGCACCCCAGGGCCTAGCATGCTCCTGGCACATAGTAGACCCACAGTAAACACAGAAGATCACCACCACAGAAAGGTAGTGCAGACCCAGTGCTAAATGATGAAAGTGGACAAGCTCCCGAGAGTTCAGGGAAGGCTCATGCTGGAGGGACAGCCTGAGCAGGGAGGCAGGGTAAGGGTCAGCTCTGAGCTACCTCGTGTCGGGATGTTAGGAAAGCTGCTAATTTCTGCTTTCCCATTGCCCCTCCCAGTCGTGCCATCCAGCCCTACCATGGCCTCTTCTACAAGCCTCCCCTCTAACTGCAGCAGCTCCTCCGGCATCTTCTCCTTCTCACCAGCCAACATGGTCTCAGCCGTGAAACAGAAGAGTGCTTTTGCACCAGTCGTCAGACCCCAGACCTCCCCGCCTCCCACCTGCACCAGCACCAACGGGAACAGCCTGCAAGGTAAGCCCCAGGCCCCACCCGGGCCAAACAGATGCCCTGACTCCACCTCCCAGGGCCAGGGCCTGAAGCAGATGCCTCTCTGCTGCCGAGGGCACCAGTGTGGGCCTGCCTGCTTCTCTCTGCCCTCCTTTCTTCTGTTCTTTTGTGTTCACTCTCCATGGCCCTGGCCCGGCCCTACCCACCTCTCCTCTGCTGGTCTTGCCTGAGCAGTCCTCTTTCCAACTCCAGCAATTCTGCTCAGGCCCGGGATTTGCTTCAGAATACTGTTTCTGCTTACTAATGCCATCGTTTCTCTTTTCTCCTCTCTCCTCTCTCATTCCCTGTGGTCGCCATAATCAGACCAGTCTTTTGTGGACTCTAGCAAGTTCTCCACTGCAGGGTCTCTCCCGGGACTGACCTTCTCCTGAAGTAGGTCACTCAACATTCCCTTCCTGTTGGCTGTGTCAGAATGAACGTGTGTGGGGTTGAGAATGGGGAGGGGGCGAGCCATGGCCTGATCAGAGCCCTGACATTAGAGCATCATAGACCAAAGGCCCAAGACTTACTGGCAACCAGAAACCCCACTAGAGTATTTGGGTTCATATTGTTCAATCTCTTCCCCATCATGGTATATAGAAAATAATGGAGTTACCAAGAGTTGAAGTGACATTTTTGTTCATTGAGAGAAAAAACCCCACTTTTAAAATGGGTCCACCACTTACATTTTTCTCATGTGCTGGCATTGTGCTATGGTGTTGACCTGCATGACTTCATTTGTTCTGCCCCAGCAGGGTTATGTGATAGGTACTCACAGTCAGAGTGCATGACTTCCAACAGCTGGCCTGGCAGAAGCTGTTTTCAAACTCGGGCTCAAAAATGCATCTCCTCTTTCCATCTCCCAAGCCCTTTACTACTCAGAGGAGGTAACACAGATGTGTCCAGGATTCCTAAGGCAGCTGTCAAGAAATAACATCAATTAAATAATCTACCGTTTATTGAGCATGGAAGAGGCACTTTATCTTAATTAATTGCCACAGTGTCCTGATGAAATACGAGCACTATTATGAGCTCCATTGTACAGGTGGTAAAACTGAAGCGTAAGGAGAATACCTGCTCACAGCCCTGGCCAGTACACGCTGGGGGTGTGCTCCTAACCCCTGCTTACACAGTCCCCCACGGTGCCTGCCTTCAGTGGCCAGCAGGCTCACCTTCACTGATAGGGGTCAGCCAGGGAGGTTGGGAGGGGTCAGGAGAGCAGCAGACTCACTTGGGACTTCTCAGCCCTGTTTCTTATGTGTCACTGTATGTATGTTTATTTATACTCATACACATGTGTACTCAGTGCCAGACACTTTATATTGATGGAACCTTACATCGATTCTCCTGAAAACCCTGTGAGGTCAGTACAGTCCTCACTGTATAGATGGGGAAATTAAGGCCCACTTTGCTCAAGGTCACACAGCTAGGACTGATGGAGCCAAAACTGAACCCACACCTCGTGATCCAGAAGGGCTCGGCCAAATGTTTCTCAGAACCTGCTGGCAGGTCTGCCCAGCACGGCCCAAGCCCGTGGCTGATGGAGCATGCCTGTGCCCCTCCCTCAAGCACACACTGGCAGAGCTGTCTTCTTGGAGGGAAAAGGAAGGTACTCTGACTGTGAAACTACATCTCAGGCGATATTATTCATGCTAGGAGATGCCCACCCCCACAAAGGGGTGCCACCCATTCATGCAAGTCTGGCTCTTTGTAGCTAAAAATAATGCTCTGTCTCCCTCAGTACACCTCTGTCTGGCAAACTAGGGATAAACTGCTGAAGTGAACATAACTCATAATGGATTTAAGTAAGGATGAAACATATGGAAAGCAGAAACCTGCTGAATGTGGGCTGCCAGGCACGGCCTCTGTTGAACATAGAGTTGGCGTCAGGAGCAAGGTGTAATGGGGCTTGTGATCACAGCTGAGAGGCGGTGCTCGGGAGGCAGTGGCTCTGGGAAGGTCGGCAGCTGTGTCCAGGCCAACAGTGACTTAGGTGAGCAGCAGCCCTTGGGCCAGGCTGAGTGTCCTCCCAGGCCATGCAGACCAGGGAGGGAGAAGGGTCCTGGACTTGGGAACATCTGGTTGTGGAGGAGTGTGTGTGTAAGTAATGATGAGGTGGCTTCAAGATGGGGACACATACACCATTTGTGCATTTGTCCCCTCCCAGGGTGTTTCTAACCCAAGTCTGCACAGATTCCAAAAGCACAGATAACCCCCACTTCTGATGACCAGCCGCGTCTCTAAGATGCAGAGCGTGAGGGTTTGAGGGGTGACTCGGGAACACACTGGCTGGATTTGCTGTTGTAAGGACACTGCCCTTTCCTCCTGACTGAGCACATGCCCAGGAGATTCTTTCTACTGGTTTTTGTTTTTCCAAAACAAAACGGGCCAGACGTCCCTACTTTTTGGGGGGTGGCGGTAGAGGTATGAGTAGAGAAATTAAATTCTGACACCCCCCTCCTTTCTGAAGCCACCCTCCTCCCTGCCTGCTCCACTTGCAACCATGACACCCACCTGGCGGGGGCCCTGCGCGCCCTCGGCACACAATCCCAGCGGATGGGCTGCTCCGGTAACTCCAGGGAGCTCCTGCTTGGGGTCTTGGGTCTCCCTGGGAAAGGTGATGGTCTGACTGTGGGCTCCTAGAACTGGATTTAGAAAGTGGAAGATGAAGTAACGCTTTAGTTCTAACTTCTATTACAAACAGGACACAGACGGGTTCTAGACCTGCAGGTATGAATCTCTAGTGCGCTGCATCCCTCCTCTTTTTCAACGTCACAGTAGCCCCTACTCCTTCCTTGGACCCACCTAGTTGAGGATTGTGATCATTAAGACAGGACAAGTGACAAAGGAAGAGCTGGTGAAGCAAATTGACTATGTAAAATCAGCTTAGAGGTGACACAGTTAGGCGGCTTCAGGATTTTAAAGGCCTATTACCTCCAACTACCACGCTGCTAATTTCACCTCATTCTGGTGTTTTTGTTGAGCCAACTCCTTAAAGACTTTCTCCCCAGTATCCCTCTCTCAGCCTCCACTAGTGACTGCAGCCTCATATGATGGAGATGACCATGGTCCCAGCCACTAACATGCGGGGGGGGCTTGATCCCAGCCTGGCTTCTGCATCATCTCAACCTCCCCACCACCCTCTGAGGTAGGCTGTTTACTGTCCCCACTTTACAGATGCAGAAACTAAGACTTAGAGCCAAGACAGCTTATCGAGTGTTACGCAGCTAGCAAGTAGGGGGAGCCTGGGGCTAACGCCCAGGCAGACCGACTCCATGCAAAGCCTTATGTGCTCTGGCCACACTATCCCAAGCCACTGGGCCAGGCCCATGTAGACTACACAGTCATCACCTTAAAAACTTTCCCTGTATGAAGAGAAATGTACCAAATACCACAGTAAAAAGGGCAGGTCTGCCTGAGGGAGGCTGGGCTCCCCGCTGTGGAGGCTCAGAGGGAAGGCTAGGGAGAGTGCAGACCAGCCTCAGGGAGCGGCTGCCTTTGAACTGGACCTGAGGTGAAGGGCAGGTCGGATTCGGGCACAGGGACGTGGAGGAAGGGGCATTGAAGCACATGACTCTCTGGCTTGGGTGCGAATCTTGTGCAGTTGTCTTTTTCCTGATGCATGTGTTCAGTTTGTGCAAGATCTCCCCTCATTCTGCTCCTGGTGAGCTCCTTATTCTTACTCAGACGGTGGTTCAGGGAAGGCCACACTCTGCCTTGTCATTCCACAGTCCCCCAGCCCTGCAGAACTTTCTATTTTGTCTTGTTCTTACCCAGATGTGGAAACTGTACTGAAAAAAGCACTGCCTTTCAAGCCCATAGTCTTCTGAGCTCTTGTCACAAGACGTGGTCACTCAGCTGCTGGGAAGGATGGCAGTCACCTCGGTCTTGTGATGATTTGGTCCGTGTGGCCTCTGAGAGAGTTGTGTCCTCATGGAAATCTTCATGGGCCCCACTTGGGCAAGTTGACGTGCCAGCGGCATTTCTGGAACATTCCAGGCTTCAGACACCCATCCCTCTCACCCACATAAGTAATCCTGAGGATTGCAGCACAGATACAAGAAAAACAGCTCCCAGTAGCTCTGGGAGGGACCCTGCAGAGAGGTCTGTTTATGAAAAGGCCTCTTTAGAGGTGTCTGAGCTCAGAGGCCACAAACGATGATCTTGTCCCAAAATTCACTCTCAGTAAGGGTTCTGCATCTGGACTTTAGGGAGTCGCAGGTGGGACACAGGGAGCTGTAGCCCCTGGTGTAACATGCAGAGTTCTAGGTGTAGGTACACAGGGGCCTTCTGGAGAGAGGCCCATGGCTTTCCTTAGACTTCCAGAGACATCTGAGGGCCAGAGACGGAGAGGCAGGGAGTGTGGCAGACCAGAGCCACCCACTAGATACCCTCAGATACGTTTGTTTGATTTTAATTATTTGCAAACCTATGTAAACTGAGCTATTTATTTTTTTAGACCCACACCTTTACTTCTCCTGAAATAGCTCAGACCTGGCGGCTGGGGGCAGGCCTTCCTGCACAGCAGCATTTGGCGGGAGCTGAGTCACTGGCCCCTCTAAGGAAAGTGTGCCCCCGGGGGAGCCACCTCACGCCCCACTCAGGGCATTCGTCCCAGCCTGGCCTCTCAGGGCGCTGGGCTGTGCAACCCCTGCATGCCAGATTAAGAAGAGCTGTTAGCTGTGGACTAGCACCTCAGTTAGCCTTGTGTTGTGATGCTCAGCGTGGCCCTAGTGGAGGTTTAGTCTAATTATTCCAACACCACATCATGCCAGGTACCAAAACACTGCTTAGATTTTTTTTTTTAATTCTGGACATCCAAATGGGATGTTTACAGGCCTCCACTGATCAATCTTGGCTGAATCCACTGACCTAATTAGCAGGAAGCTTGTCAGTTTTCTACTTTGCTTTACATCCTATTGACGCTGCCTGATTACCTGGCTTCGCTGTGGGGGGACTGCCCTTTAATGCCAGGCACACAGTGGATTTTGGTGGGAGGCAGGAGGAGACGCTTCTTTCGCCATAGGCTAAGGAAGGCCTGCCTTTACCAAGGCTGCCTGCACCCACCGCCGGCCGGCCGGGGTGGAGGGGTCCTTAGGGAGGTGGAGGGGTGCTGACCTGGCACAACGCAGGGGCCTCCTCCCCCTCCCTACCCCTCCCTGGCCTTTGGAGCTACGAGCATCTTGAATTCTCAGGTTAAGGCTTGGATTGAAATACCGAGCTCCCTGTTTCAGTCAAATCTAGGGCTCATTTGAATCTTAGGGGAGCTATGTTTCCAACTGATCCCAAATCTTTGGGGGTTTAAGCTGGTCTGCATTTGGCAAGAGACACTTCCTGTTTCTAAGAAAAATGGCTTTTGAGGGCTTAAGAAAAAGACTCCAGGAGCTTTTGGACTGCAAAAGGGCTCTTGCAAAACAACATTTGGATGATTTACGTGTAAATGAATCAGAAACATGTGGATTAAATTTCCTTGTGAATACAGATGGGTTTAAAAATTAACGGAAAAAGTGTTTGGCAAAATACTTATTTTTTTTTAATTGAGTCTAAAATGTCAGGGTGGGGGAGGGGAAGCACGCGGTGTGGGGGGGCCCGAGGGCCCAGAGCCCCGCCCAGCTTCCCTGTGTCTACTGCAAGATTGGGGTTCATTGGGGTTCAGTTGTTGTGTGTGTTTTTTTAATGGCACATTCCTCCAGACATGAGATTTGGGAAATGAAGAGGGTCACTTCCTAGATGCAGTCATCACTGACAAGAACAATTAATTTAAATTTAGAATTGCCAATAAAAAGAAAGCAATGACTTTCTCTGCCTGACAGCACGCTAAGCCGTCACTGGGAGCCAAAGATGGCTGCTGCTTGCTTCTCATGTAAGCATCTCTCTCTCCCTGTATTTCAAAGTTGCCACATTGTATTAACTGTGTTTCAGACAACCCTTTCCTCCTCATATCCATCACGTGAAGTGTGCTGGATGGCCTGATACCTATTGGATATCAGAGGAAACAGCCCAGAGAAGTTAAACAACTAACCCAAGGTCACACAGCTAGGTTAGCGGCAGAAGGGATGGGTTAGAAAGAACAGCAGCTAATCTGTTAGGTCTTTCTTAGGAGCGGAACCCAGGCCAGGCACTTCCCTACGTAATTTTACCTAAATCTTCCGCAACCCTAGCAGTATCTCAGCATTTGCAAATACCAATTAACTGCATGTTCTAGCTGGGGAGGCACGGCGACCTCAGGGGGACACACTAAGCAGGGAAGCCAGAGGTTGGACCCCGGTCTGTCGGATTCCATGCTCTTCTAAACATTCCATGCGGCATCCTAACCCTGGACACTTGGAGAGATTTCTGATCACCCCCCCC